AGACTATGTCGAAACTGTGAGTAAATCTGGCCTGAAATGTGTGCGACCTAGCTGGAGATTCGCTGAATCAGGGTACATTGAATCGCTGTTGTACTGTACTGAGATACCGATAAAGGCTGGCGCATGCAGGAGCAGCGCTCAGCACCACTGTGCAGCTAGGGGGGCCACAGCACCACTTAGTAATGATGAATAAAATAGGCAACAAATTATTTTGCGTTAATAGTGTCATAGATGATCGTGAAGGTGATAAAGACTGTGTACAATTTTCAAATATCAGTGAATACAATGCTAGTTATGATATTTATAGCATAAGGTACAAACACAGCACCCAGCCATTGTTTTCTGCATCTACACATCATGAAATGACCTTAAGTTCTTTCACTAATGTTCATTTCCTTATGGAAATGGATTCATATTCGGGATTTTGTGACAGGAATGTGATACAAACAGCAGGTTTGTAGCTAGTCATAGCAAGATGTGTAGAATATTGGAGGCATTGTCTTGTATCATGTGACTGCTGGCGTCGTCTGCTTGAGGCTCCATGTTGTGTTTTAATTTCATCACCATACTAACCAGAACTGCTTATTAGTTTGTTATGGTGCATATAAATGTTGATAGTGATATATAACATGTACATATAGTGTAATAACAACAGGAACACTGTTTGATTGATCTAAGAATATATGTGTCACCATATATGAGCTCCATGTTTTTTAGAATAGCGATGTTCCAAACATTTAACTATATAAATTCCACATGTTATACATTGCTGAATAATCAACCCGTTCTCTCACTTGCTTTTAGTCAATATTGGCTTTAATTTATTTACAATTATTACTTAACCTATCAACTGTATATGTTAAGTAATAATTGTAATTAAGAAGCAATAAGATGCTTATCTTAACATACTAAGAAGGTTAGGTGAGGTTCGTGTTTTCTATGAAGCTTTTCAAGGTAAACTAAAATATTCACAATCAATTAGTATGTCACATATGCACTTATTAAATAAGCCAATATTGACTATAAGCAAGTGCAAGAACAGGTTGGAATAATATTACTGCAAAAATCCAGCGTTCAATGTAATGAAACGCCATTTTATGAGTTGAGCCCCAGAGGACTCCTTATGCCTACAGGGAACCATGAGCCAGAACCTTGTTCCCTCATGAGAGGCACAGGGAGCAATGGCTCTATGAAACACTCAACTGTTTGAAAGAACAATCATGCCAGCCATTGACACCCAGAAAGTATCATCCAAAAAGGTTGCTGAACCAATACGTTTATAATGCAATACTTTTATTTATTTATTTATTTATTTATTTATTTATTTATATATAAAAAGAAGGTACATTGGGTTTGTGAGAATACATTGGATAGTACAGTATTTACACTCTTGTAAAGCCACTAGTACGCGCAGCGTTTCGGGCAGGTCCTTAATCTAGCAGATAATTTTAGGTAGGTAATTTCAATCAGAACCAATCAGAATACGAACCAATACTGCCCGAAACGCTTTGCGTAATAGTGGCTTTAGGCATTGTATGTACTAGCTCTATCTATAAATTCATCAATATTTGTATCACACCTTGTATGTATGCACTTTACCTGAATAAACATTTGAATTTTTTAATTTTGAATTTGAATTTTGAATACAAACCCCAACTGGTAAAATATGGCAACCCAAGACCGAACAGAGGCTAAGAACTCCCCCAAGATAAGACAACAAACAAGCAAATGTCCACTCTGGACATCCTGGCTACCACACCACACACAGCAGGCAACACAAGCGACAGGACACAGCGGGTCACTGTGAGGGGTAAGGTCTCGAAGTGGCGGGGAATCACCAGTGGAGTCCCACAGGGATCAGTCCTTGGACCTATACAGTTTCTGATATACGTAAATGATCTCCCAGAAGGAATTGACTCGTTAATCTCGATGTTTGCTGATGATGCAAAAACAATGAGGAGGATCAGGACAGAGGGGGCTAGTATGAGGCTACAAGATGACCTAGACAAACTGAAGGAATGGTCCGCCAAATGGCTACTAAAGTTCAACCCAAGTAAATGTAAGGTAATAAAACTAGGAGGAGGAACTAGGAGGCCAGTCACTGGATACCGAATGGGAGATGAAGTCCTTCATGAAACGGACAACGAGAAAGATTTGGGAGTTGATATCACGCCAAACCTGTCTCCCAAAGCCCACATCAAAAGAATAACATCAGTGGCCTATGCGAGGCTGGCTAACATCAGAACTGCTTTCAGAAACCTGAGTAAGGAATCCTTCAGAATCTTGTATACCACATATATAAGGCCAATCCTAGAGTATGCAGCCCCAGCATCGAGCCCGTATCTAGTTAACCACTAGACGAAGCTGGAAAAAGTACAGAGGTATGCCACTAGGCTAGTCCCAGAACTAAGAGGCATGAGTTATGAGGACAGACTATGTGAACTGCACCTCACATCGCTGGAAGACAGAAGAGCTAGGGGAGACATGATCACCACATACAAAATTCTTAGGGGAAATGACAGGGTGGACAAGGATGGATTATTTAACATGGGTGGCACATGCACAAAGGGACACAGGTGGAAGCTGAATACCCAAATGAGCCACCGAGACATTAGAAAGAACTTTTTCAGTGACTGAGTAGTTAGTAAATGGAATGTCAGCCGAAGTTGCCACAAAGAGATAATTACCTAATTATTTCAATGTCTCTGATTGATTTTTCATAGTTTTTTTGCTGTAATATTATTCAATAGTGTGTAGTTTGATATATTTATATAATAAAATGAGTGAATCATTGCTGTACTCATAAATATGGTGTGCATATCGTTAATTCAATTATGTTCATCAATCAGTGAACAAATACTTTGTCAGTTTTTACACTATATACACAGGTTATATATAAGTATCTGCATGTTTTGTTCACCATAACGAACCACTAAGTTGCTACTATGAGTCAAAAAGTAACGAGGAGTGACCGCTGTGTACCAGCCAGCCACTCACACCCTCCCTCAAGTCACCTGACTCACCCACATTCTCCTCCCACAATACTGTTTTTGCTCTTATATACAGACGTTATATATAAGTATTTACATGTTTTGTTCACCATAACTGTATATCTAAGCTTGTATGGTGAGTAAAGGCACAAAGACAAAGGACCTCACACAGTCAGCTGATGGCTGCCACCCTCAAGGCCAGACGCACTAATATTTCTCCTCCAACAATACTAATTGTGGTGTTATTACGCTATATACACACATTATATATAAATATCTACCTGTTTTATTCACCATACTTGTACAAGTAAACTGATATGGTGCCCAAAGACCATCGTGGTAACCAGTAAACAACACCATCGTCTGCACGGTGGCGTCGTGCAGACGACGCCACCTCCCTCACCAAAATGGCGGCTCCCAACCTACTCTTGCTGTTTATACCCTCTATACACACGTTATATATATAAGTATCTACATTTGTGTTCACCATAGCGAACCGCTAAGCTGGTAGAGTGAGTGCAGTCAATAAAAGGTGGCCACACAGTCAGAAGACAACGCCACTACCCTCCCTCCCACAGCATTACTCCTCCCTCCATGGCACACGGCGCTAAATATCACCACAATCCTGCTATTATCAGAACCCTGGTCAGTTTTATCACAGTCAGGGGTCTTCTGTAATAATATCATCACTACATAATAGCATGAACAAGTATATTATGGCATTTTTAGGCGATGCTGTGGTCACAAACTGAACAGCAGTGCTGTGAGCTCATGCTGTGTGCTTCAGGCTTGGTTGCTCACTCAATACTGAGGCCCCTAACACCCTGGAGTTTGGCCCACGATTTTTTTTTAAAATGGCGTCTGTTTACAAGAGCCCTGATGAAGGTGTGGTGAACCCCGTGTATCCGCGGGCCGTTTAAATCTTGTGTAGTACTCCAAAGCATCACATGATGCGATGCGCAATTTAATGCAAGTTGGTCAAAGCATCATATGATGCAATGTGGAATTGAAGGGTTAAGGAGAATTTCCTGCACACTTAACCTACCAGAAGACCCTTAACTTACTGTTTTGAGAAAAAAAAATCCAAAATTTATTTTTCATTTTTTTCATTTTGAGATTACATCCATTTTCGGCCATACGGGCAAATGGCCAGAAGCGACGTTATTTTTAAGAGGACAGGTTGCATAGTTCCCAGTAGGCAGAACGCCAATTAACTGAAGACCCAGACTAATATAGCTAATATCAGTCCGATAGCTCCAGGGAGCCGACGGAGCTCCCCACACACACGCCCAGACGGCACATGTAAACACAACACAGTGCTGCCCTGGTGGCCGGGCCAGGAAGCTGTCCCAGGAAAGCAAAATGGCTGCCAAAACAACACCAGCCAAAGAGAGATGCACCCAACACAAGGTGCATAAATCACACGAGCAAATGTGGAAAACCTAAAACCCCAGCCCAGAAGGCATAAAGACCCAGGCAGGGGCAAACAGCCCAAGTGCTCGTTGCGTGCTCTCCCCAAATCACCCCCCAAAAAACCCGACAGAGGCCCCAGGGCAAAGCCCAGATCCATACCCACCACCCCAGTAGAAAAGGCGGAGTTTAAGGGAAAGGCTTCGAAGAAGAATCTTTTGAACTGGATCGACCCAGACGCCTCGGTGTGATAAACAGCTAGGCTCAACCACCTCCGTACCCAAATCGAAAGGGAAATAGTCGAAGCCTACCAGTCTCTCACCCCAAGCTAAACCCCGCCTTGACTCCCAAACCCCACAGACGTCCGGGAGCTGGTAGCAGAAAGGGGGGGGGGGGAAGGGAGGGGAAAAGAGGAGCAGGGCAAACCACGCCCACAAAGGAAGGAAGCGGGGGGTGCGGACAAAACCAAAGTTGAGTGACCAACGTCCCCAAATCCAGGGTCCTAACCGAAGAGGGGCAGCACCGGGGCTTCCGACCGAGTAACTAACCGGGTGCGTTGCAACAACAAAAACCTAACATGCAATGCAACCGCTGCCTGACCCCTAAGGTCTTCCGAAGAACAAGAAGAAGAATTGGTAATGTGGATGACGAGCGGGGAACAAGTCCCGCATGACTCTGCATCGTAGGTGTAACCGACCCAACAAGCAGCATGAGAGGGGCGGAACAGATGATCGTCACCCTGAGACAAGGGCAATGAACAGCCTTCAAACTCGCACAGAGCAAGTGGGGACTCTGAAGACGTATGTATAGTCACACTGAGCCCCAAGGAGTTTACCAGGCCCCCAGGAGGGAAATCCCCGACAGGGAACCAAGGCACTGGTGGTGCTAAGCCAATTGAACCCCATCTAATACTGGGCAAACTTACCCCATGAAGCCATGAGTGCAACCTCAAGTGGGTCAAAGGAGGACCACCTACACAACCTTGGCAAACCTAATCAGGAGCTAGGCCGACGACTTCCAGGAATAAAACAAAAACGGAAATCCTCGAAAATGTGCCACAAACAACTAGAGGCCAGAGAATATCACAGCCTGCCGCGTAGGCTGTGTCAGCGTCTTCTTGAGGTTATCTTGAGATGATTTCGGGGCTTTAGTGTCCCAAATCTTCTGTATCCAATCTTCACACATTGATCCCACACAACCCATTAATTATGTGAGAATTCTTTAAAGAATTCTGACAAAGAAAGGGATCTAGGGGTGGTTCTAGACAGGGAACTGTCACCTGAGAACCACATTAAGAACATTGTGCGAGGGGCCTATGCTATACTTTCTAACTTCAGAATTGCTTCTAAATACATGGATAGCGAAATACTAAAAAAATTGTTCACGACTTTAGTTAGGACCAAAGCTGGAATATGCAGTGGTTGTGTGGTGCCCATATCTTAAGAAGCACATAAACAACTTAAAAAGGTGCAAAGACATGCCACCAAGTGGCTCCCAGAACTGAAGGACAAGAGCTACGAGGAGAGGTGGGAGGCATTAAATATGCAAAAACTAGAAGAGAGAAGAGAGGCGATATGATCACTACGTACAAAATAGTAACAAATTGATAAAATTGATAGGGAAGAATTCCTGAGACCTGTAACTTCAAGAACAAGAGGTCATAGATTTAAACTAACAAAACAAAGCTGCCGGAGAAATATAAGAAAATTCTCTTTTGTAAACAGAGTGGTAGACGGTTGGAACACGTTAGGCAGGAAGGTGGTGGAGGCCAAAACCGTCAGTAGCTTCAAAGCGTTATATGACAAAGAGTGCTTGGTAGACGGGACACCACGAGCATAGCTCTCATCCTGTAACTACACTTGGGTAATTACACTTAGGCAATTACATGCAAGCTGCGCAAAACACTTTGTGCCCCAGCCAACAACCGCCATCACCAGCCAACAACTCCCTACCAAGGGTCCAAACGGAGAACCTCGAAACGAAGAAAAATTTTAACTTCGCCCTTGGGGTTTAGTGGGATTTGTGCGGTTCTCGTCAAACCGTTTCAACCACGGTTTGTGGCTGTTTTCTGCACAAACCCCACTAAATTGCTCTCATTATATTTAGTCGTGATTTTGCTTTCTCCTTTAGATATTGAATTTGCTTGTTGAATGTCATTTTAAAATCTATCCACACTCCGAGATATTGATATTGTGTAACCCACTGAAGGTCTTGAATGCGTAGGTGCCTGTCTGGAGTGTTGCCGCCTAGTCTCATTGCCTTATACTTCTGTGCAGATATTTTTAGACCTAAAACGCTGCATTCAGATGTTACTTTATCTAATGCACCTTGTGCTTTATTTAGAAGTGAAGGACCTGTAATGACTAATGCTATATCATCAGCATAGCTTAGCAATTTAACCCCTTCTGTAAATGTCATGGTAACAAGGTTTTCCATAAGGATGTTAAAAAGACTAGGACTGAGGACTCCTCCATGTGGAGTCCCATTCTCATGCAGGTGGTAGTCCGACACTTGTCCTTGAATCTTTACTCTGGCATACCTGTGACTTAGGTAATCTTGAATCCATGCTAGCATATTTCCCTTTACACTTTTTTTAACTAAGGTGTACTCACCTAGTTCACCTAATTGTGCTTGTGGGACTTAATTGTGCTAATTGTGTAAAATTGCTTGCGGGTTTGCAAGTTCGAATGCTTTTTCTAGATCAAGGAAGATCACTATAGCTGGACCCGAGTTAACTGTTCCTAGTAATGTTGCTATGCAGTTGGGAGTACCTACTCTTTTAGTGAAGCCAAATGTGTGTTTATGCAGGTTTCCAGTCTTCCACAGTAGTCTATTTAAAACCATCCGTTCTGCAGTTTTACTAATGCATGATGTTAATGAAATGGACTTGTAATTGCCAGGTTCTTTCGGCTTAGGAATCGGTATGTCTGCTTTCTTCCAAGAGGTCGGTAGTTTGCCTTGCTGCCAAGATGCATTGATGACGTCCAATATTCCTTGTTCTCCAGCAGGACCTGCATGTGCGATCATTGAGTATGTAATGTTATCAGCACCTGGTGCAGTGTCCTTACCACCTTTTTTGGCTCTGATTAGTTCTTGTTTTGTGAAGGGACAGTTACATTCATCATTTGTAGCTATGCTCTCATGAATGGCTGTCAACCTATCTTGTTTTAATTGTTCTTGCTGCCTTCGGACCATTGCAGGAAGCCGATATGAAGCTGTTCTTTCTGCAAATTGGAGAGCAAGTCTCTCAGCCTCCTGCATTGGTTGAATACATGCCTGTGATCGGGTTGGTCGACCTGATATAGTTTTAACCTGACCACATATCTTGCCAAGACTACTATGTTCATTTAGAGTTTTACACCACTCAAACCATCTTGCCTCCTTTACTTCTCTAGAAACTCGTCTTGCTTCAGATATCACCGCTCTTAGCAAAATTCTTCCCTCTGGTGAGGGGTTTCTCTTTAGATGTTTTCTAAAGATGTTGACTCTGTGGTTCTGTTCTTTAACCTCATTACTATAAAACCAATAGTTCTTTCATTTTGTGTTTCATGTGATAATGATTGGAATAGCTTTGTTTGCAGCAGCTGCAATCGCTTCCTACAGATTGGTCTCATGTATGTTCAAATCCTCAGGTGGCGTGTATGTTGCATACCATTTTTCAAGTTCCTCTTGGTATATATTCCAATTGGCCTTTTTTAAATTCCACCTAGATCAAGTCACAATCGACTTGAGAATAGTCCAGGACGGACCGAAACGTCGTCGTCCCTTCACCTTCTAGTGTGTAGTATGGTCAACATACTTTAGCCACGTTATTGTGACTCATCGCCTGCAAATTCCACCTAGGTTGTGCAGGTGGTGTAGGAGGTCGTTCTATATTTAGTGTTGTGACAGTAACATAGTGGTCACTGGTGATCACCGGGTCTACTTCCCACTTCGCCTGATGCTTGAGTGCTGTTGAGATTAATGTAAGATCAAGAGAACCTCCTAGAATGTTAATGGGTTTCCCAGTGTTGAGAAGTGTAATTTCAGGTACTTCTAGCAGAGCTGCAGCTAAATGGCACCCATTTGCATTGGCTTGCCCAGTCGCACCTAACTCTTGATGATGAACATTAAAATCCCCAGCAATAATTACATTTTCCTGTGGCCAAGGCAAGCACTGCCTCTGCTTCTAGTTTACGTCTAGGGGCTTGTAAACGTTGTATATGAGGAGCTGAGTATTAGCCATATTCACTGTTACTACTAATACCTCTACTCCATCCCCACATGAAACTGGGTGTATTTTCTTGCTGGGTATGGTGTTCCTGACTAGGGTCATTAACCCTCTTTGTCTCCCCTGCTCATACAGTATAACATAGTGCTGATATCCAGCTAATCTGAAGAATTTCGTGGCTGAGAAAAAGAGTTTCTTTCAACACGATTATATCTGCTTTCGTGCTGATTGCAGCCTCCTGAAGTGTGTGGTTTTTATTTCCAAGACCTTGTATGTTCCACTGCAGTATTCGTAATGGCCAGACGACGGTTTCGGTTGGTGTTGCCTGTTCTAGTAGAATTCCTCTTTGGAATCTACCTCTATATTCTCCACCTCACAAGTCTTGTCGATGTAAATCGGACTGCACTGATTGCTCGTGGTCATCCCCGGCATTGTTTGGAATTTGTTCATAACTGTGGGCCATCGCTTTGCTGTTGGTATTGCTGCATGTCGGACTGCATTGATTGCTCTTGGCGGTTTCTTGCATTGTTGGAACCTGTGCATCTCTGCTGTTCAATATGTCTTTGTTGGTATTGTTGCATATCAGACTGCATTGGCTGTTGTTGTCTGCTCTTGTGTTGTAAGATTCTGTTGATCTTGGGTGGTCACTGCTTCTTGCAGTTGCTTTTGTAAATGTTGATGTTCTGGTGTCTTGACTACCTGCCTGTTGTTGGTAGTCTGTATGTCCATGTTGCGTTGTTTGTCCTCTTGTGCTCCGTCTTGTCTCAGACTGTCTATTTCTTGTGTAACTGTGGTCTGCTGCACGATCTTGTCTATTATTACACAAGTGATTTCTTGAGTTTGTTGCTGTGAGGCATTCTGCGTCATCTGTAGGCAATTGATAATGGTTTCTGCCATGATCTTCACTATGTTTTTCAGCTGGACCTTGGGGGTAAAACTGTATATTTGTTGTGTTGATTTTGAAAGTAATTGTTTTTTGCTCTTTTGCATTTGCTGTATTTCTGCAGCACTTTTGTGTATTTTCTAATTTAGAATTAATAAATTCGGGAAACTTTGCTCTGTGAGAGAGTGTGTGTGTGTGTGTTGTGGCTGTGCACGAGTGTTCCAGACGTTGGTGTTGGTGTATGTAGTGCTGGTCTGTGTGTTTATCCTGGCCTGAGCTGTCTGCACTTTTTCTTTCCGTGTAGAGCAGGTTGTGCTCCAGGCATGATGTTTGCCTCCACAATTTGGACATTTGGCTGTTGTGGCCTGGTTTGCCTTGTGCTTGGCTATACAGTCTTTGGTTGGATGTCTCAGGCTGCACACTCCGCATCTCTCCTGTCCGGTGCAACGTGATTGATGGTGGCTGTATTTCTGACACCTGAAGCAGTGCAGGGGTTCCGGGACGTATGGTCTCGGTCGGTATGTTCCCCAATTTCCAAGACTGAATGTTTCTGGCACATGTCCCATGATGGTCACCAGAACCTAACATGTCCCTGCCTTGTCTACTTTTGTGCGGCATCGTTCCGCATTCACGATTTGCTCATGTTCTAGTACTGGATCAGGGGGAAAGTTGATTGGGTATCCCAAAAGCATGACTCGTGTGCGTCTTTCTGTACTGTCCTCTCCTGTCTCATACTGTTGTCCTGTGGCTGCACTGTGGAGAGAAGTACATTGTCTGACACTGGCTGGTAATTACCTAAGTGTAGTTACAGGATGAGACCTACGTTCATGGTGTCCCGTCTACCCAGCACTCTTTGTCATATGACGCTTTGAAGCTACTGACGGTCTTGGCCTCCACCACCTTCTCCCCTAACTTGTTCCAACCGTCTACCACTCTGTTTACAAAAGAGAATTTTCTTATATTTCTCCGGCAGCTTTGTTTTGTTAGTTTAAATCTATGACCTCTTGTTCTTGAAGTTCCAGGTCTCAGGAATTCTTCCCTATCAATTTTATCGATTCCTGTTACTATTTTGTACGTAGTGATCATATCACCTCTTTTTCTTCTATCTTCTAGTTTTTGCATATTTAATGCCTCTAACCTCTCATCGTAGCTCTTGTCCTTCAGTTCTGGGAGCCACTTAGTGGCATGTCTTTGCACCTTTTCCAGTTTGTTGATGTGCTTCTTAAGATATGGGCACCACACAACCGCTGCATATTCTAGCTTTGGTCTAACAAAAGTCGTGAACAATTTTTTTAGTATTTCGCCATCCATGTATTTAAAAGCAATTCTGAAGTTAGAAAGTGTAGCATAGGCTCCTCACACAATGTTCTTAATGTGGTTCTCAGGTGACAGTTTTCTATCTAGAACCACCCCTAGATCCCTTTCTTTGTCAGAATTCTTTAAAGATTTCTCACATAATTTATAGGTTGTGTGGGGTCTATGTTCTCCTATTCCACATTCCATAACATAGCATTTATTCACATTAAATTCCATTTGGCAAGTGGTGCTACATATACTTATTTTGTTCAGGTCTTCTTGAAGGGCATGACAATCTTCTAGGTTTCTTATCTTCCCTATTATCTTAGCACCATCAGCAAACATGTTCATATAATTCTGTATTCCATCTGGTAGATCGTTTATGTAGACAATGAACATTACCGGTGCAAGAACTGAACCCAGTGGTACTCCACTTGTGACATTCTTCCAATCTGATACATTGCCTCTGATTACGGCCCTCATTTTTCTATCAGTTAGGAAATTTTTCATCCATGCTAGAAGCTTACCTGTCACCCCTCCACTATGATCCAGTTTTCAGAACAACCTCTTATGTGGAACTCTGTCAAAAACCTTTTTTAGGTCCAGATAGATGCAGTCAATCCAACCATCTCTTTCCTGTAAAATCTCTGTGGCTCGATCATAGAAACAGTAAATTCGTTACACAGGATCTTCCAGATCAAAAACCATACTGTCTGTCTGATATTATATCGTTTTTCTCCAGGTCTTCTACCCATTTAGTTTTAATTATTTTTTCCAATACTTTGACTATTACACTTGTCAATGATACAGTTCTATAATTAAGGGGGTCTTCCCTGCTTCCACTTTTGTAGATTGGGACGATGTTAGCCTTTTTCCACACATTAGCTACAACTCCTTTACACAGGGATGCCTGAAAAATCAGTTGAAGTGGAATGCTGAGCTCAGGTGCACATTCTCTCAGAACCCATGGTGAAACGCCATCTGGACCAACTGCTTTGTTCTTACTGAGCTCCTTTAGCATTTTCTCCACTTCAGCTCTAGACACCTCTATGTGCTCTATGTTGTTCTCTGGAATTCTTATTGTGTCTGGTTCCCTGAAGATTTCATTATGTACAAACACACTTTGGAACTTTTTGTTTAATGTTTCACACATTTCCTTTTCATTTTCTGTGAATCTATTTCCCATTTTCAACCTCTGAATATTATCCTTTACCTGCAATTTGTTGTTTATGAATTTATAGAATAGACCTGGTTCTGTTTTACATTTGTCCGCAATCCCTTTTTCAAAATTTCTTTCTGCCTCTCTTCTCATTGCTGTGTAGTTGTTTCTCGCATCTTTGTATCGCTGGTATGTTTGGGGGTTTGGCCTCTTCCTATAGTGATTCCATTTTTGTATCTTTTGGTATCTGGCCCTCTCACAATTTCTGTCGAACCAATCCTGTTTCCTAGTTCTGCATCTCTGCTTTGGAATAAAAAATTTTCTGCCTTTATCATATATTTCACAAAACATGACATACATCTCATTTACTTCATGTCCTAACAGCAAGTCTTTCCAGTCAATTTCCTTAATGAAATGTCTGAGTACCCCACAATGACCTCTTCTGAAATCAGGCTTTTCAACTGCTTCATCTTCATTTTCTTCCAAATTATAACGCATAGCATACTTTATTCCCAATAAGACATGGTCACTTTTACCTAAGAGTGGAAGGTACTGAATGTCAAATATCTCTTCCTCTTTCCCGGTAAATATCAAATCCAACATAGAGGTAACATCCCCTTTCCTCATCCTCGTAGGTTGTTTAACATGTTGAAACATGAATGTTTCCAGGATGAGGTTTACGAATCTACAAGTCGAAAAGTCCTCCGTTCTAGCTTAATATGCCTCCCAGTCTATGGATTTTAAGTTGAAGTCGCCAACTACCAACAGTCGTGATCTATCTTTATCAGCTCTGACTATAATTTCTCTCATTATTATTATAAGACCTTCTCGTTTACTATCTAGCTCCTCCTTTGTCCATGTGTTGCTTGGCAGTGGACTATATGCATTTATGATCGTTAGTTTATCATCCTGATTGCATATCTAGTGCTATTATGTCAACTTCTCGTGGATTGCAATTATTATTTCGTTTACCTTTAGGTGTTCTTTCACCAGCACAGCAACAGCACCATCTTTCCTTTATGACTGGGAGCATTCTATATCTGCCATCGACCGGGATAGGTACCCAGAAAGGTAGGCGCAACAAAACAAACCCCTATTCTGGTAAACTATTGCGACCGAAGACCGAACAGGTAGACAGAACTCCCCAAACGAAAATTAGCAAACAAGCATGACGTCATCATGTTGCCCCACCACTGTCTGCACTATTCCCCCCCTCTCCCCGAGAGGGGGAAGGGGGGAGTCCCAGACCCCACCGTCGACAACCCAACTATTAGTGCTTAGGCTGGATGTCAAAACGCAAAAACACCGCAGACCGGAGGGAGGGAGGGATGCTGGGGAGCCTCTGGGACTCACCCAGAAAATGGCATTTCATTACATTCAACGCTGGTTTTCTGGGAAGAGCCCCGTTGGTTCCCCAGAGCTAACTACCCAAAGATAAGAAAAAAAACAGGGACTTACCGGGGCGGCGGTCCGTCCTCACTCCTCAACGCGAAGTCGAGACAAATGGCTGCAACTGCCGACCCAATGCAACGCAGGCCTGACCAGGCCCAGGAACATTCACTAGGTAACGAGCGGCCAGGACCCTGTTCGACCTCCAAAAACCCCGGGCCCGAGTGTCCACCCAAGACATGTTGCCAAAGACGGCCGCCAAAGCAGCAAATTTACGAACATTGTGGGCCCGGGGATAAACCACAGGCTGGCTACACTAAATAACCCTGTGGACAACCTGAGAGACCTGAACCCGGGAACAGGGAAGAAGGGAAACCGGATCAACTCAGAGCGCATCCCCGGCAACGGAAGCCGTGGCGCGCAAATAACAGCAGAGAGCCGCAACCGGACACAACACATGATGCACCCCTGGCCTCACCAGCCAAGCATCAAGAACCCACGGCCCCCTCCGGAACGCAGCCGTCTCATTCTTCGCCAGAAAAGAGGGAGACGGCTGCAAGCGAACAAAACGACCACCAGGACCAAAAGAGCAGAAACCTCGGCGCTGGAGGAAAGCATGAAGCTCCCCAACCCGACCCCCCGAGGCCAATGCCAACAGGAAAAGAGCCTTAGAAAAACAATCCCGAACAGAAGGGGCCACAACAAACCGAGGCAAAGAGAGAAACAAGTGCACGCGGTCCAAGGACCAAGACAGCTCAGGCGGTGCATGAGCAGGCCAGAGGTGAAACAACGCACGAGACAACTTGCGAAACCGGG